CAATATATATGTATATAATATAAATAATATATACATAATACAATATATATATATATATATTGTATGTACATTAGATGTTCATTATGCATACGTACATATTAGTTTATATAAACAACAAATAAATAGATTGATGCATTTAAACATAAACGCCAAGATAAATCTTTTACGTCGCTTGCTGCTGTTTGTTTGCATGCAGCGACAAAGAAATATTATTTGCTGCGCTGCTGCCTCCTAACCACCTGCGCGGCATCCCTCTGCTGCTGCTGCTGCTGCTGCTGCAACAGCAACCAGTACAGCTGCTGCTGCTGCTGCTGCAGCTTTTAAATAAACATTTGAAGATAAAATTCATTTAACTGCGTCTCTAGAAGATGTCCCCCATCTCTTCACCAAATAGGCCTTCTGGATTTGCTGCTGCTGCTGCTGCTGCTTCTGCTGCATCAGCTTCCGCCTCTACAACAGCAGCTGCCGCTGCTTGTCCCTTAGACGTAACCTGGCGCAGCAGCTCCGACCTGTACATACACCGCAGCGCCTCGCTGCTGTACTTCTCCACCTTCGCTGCAGCAGCTGCTGCTGCTGCGATCTTTTCTCGCGTAGCTGTCAGTGCAGCAGCAGCAGCACTCGCCTTTGCTGCCGACTCCTTCGCTTGCTGCAGCAGCAAAGAGACAGATGCAGAGAGAGAATGTACACCCCAGCAGCCCCACACAAAAGCCATGCGTGCAGCAGCTGCAGCAACAGCAGTAGCAGAAACAGTAGCAGCAGCAGCAGCAGCACGTGCAGCACGGCAAGGTGTAGTACTGCAATAGAACTCCCTAGCGGAGCAACTAAACCCACCCTGCTGCTGCTGCGGCTGCTGCTGCTGTTGTTGCTGCTGCTGCTTACTTGCATACGTGACTGAGTCTCCTCTGTGTCTTCACTTGCTGCAGCGAGTGCTGCAGCAACGCTTTCAAGTGCTGCAGCAACAGCTGCTGCTACTGCTGCTCCGTCAGCTCCTGCTGCTGTCCAGAGGCCGCCAGTCAAGGCCTGCAAATGCTGCTGCCTCGGGGGCAGCAGCAGCAGAAGCAGCAGAAGCAGTAGCCGCCGCTGCTGCTTCCTCAGCAGCAACGATGAGGGAGCTGCGGATTTCCGAGATGCCCGGTAGCAGCAGGGAAGTGGCTTGCTGCTGCAGCTGCTGCTCGTGTTGCTGCAGCAGCGTTAACCACGGCAGCAGCAAATAATATTCTGTCCTTATAAACATCTCTCCAACAGCAGCTAGCTGCTCCACCTGCTGCAGCTCCGTCAGCCGCAGCAGCAGCTGCTGCAGCCAACACCAGAAGCTGCGACGACAGCCCAAGTGCAGCGCGCACAAAACCTAAGGCAGCAGCAGCAGCAGCAGCAGCAGCAGATGCAGCAGATGCAGTAGCAGCAGAAACAGCAGCAGCTCGAAATGCAGGCACCCCTCATACAAGTTGGCAGCAGCAGCACATACAGTTTTAAGGTGTATATACACTGTTAATAGGGGGCTTGCCTGATGCTGCAGATGCTGCAGCGAGAGCCGCACAGAGCTGTTTCCTGCAGCTTCTAAGGAAAAGATTCGGCGCTGCTGCTGCTGCTGCTGTTGCTGCTGCTGTTGCAGTACAAGGTGGTGTTCCTGTTCTGTGCTCGTGCCTGATGCTGCTGCTGCTGTTGTTGTTGCTGCTGCTGCTGCTGAGGGGGGCCCCGCAGCCTTGCTGTAGAAATCTCTAATAAGCTGCAGCCCTCTCTGCTGCCGCAGCGCAGTGACGCCTTCGCTTGTTAGCCCCAGAGAAGCCACCAGAAAGCGCTGGGCGAGCCTAGCTAAAAACCCTTTGCTGCTGCTGCTGCTGCTGTTGCTGTTGCTGCTGCTGCTGCTGTTGCTGCTGTTGCTGCTGCTGCTGCCCCAGAAGCTGCAGCAGGCATCTTGTAGTGCTGGACTGTTGCGCTGAATTCGCTCCAGGAGATCCTCCGGCTCATCTGGAGCCGTTGCTGCTGTTGCTGCTGCTGCTGCAGCGCTACCTCTGGACGGTATGCAGCCTTCGCTGCCCTCTGTGCCATTTTGCATCGCCAACTCGAAGCCCCTTCCGTCAGCAGCAGCCACAGGAGCAGCAGGAGCAGCTACTTGCTGCTGCTGTTGCTGTTTCTGCTGCTGCTGCTGCTGCTGCTCCAGCGAAGCCCAGGAAACAAGCGAGAAGAAGTCGGATGCAGCAAACGCCAAATCGTCAATGCGCCTGAAGCCATCTCCGCTAAGGGGGAGGGCTTCAGAGAAGCAAAAAGAGCAGCAGTTGCTGCTGCTGCTGCAGCTGCTGATGCTGCAGCCATTGCTGCTGCAGCAGGTGCTGCGGAGGCGACAGGCAAAAACTCTTCCGGATCGCATCGCAACCAGCAGCAGCAAAAACTCTGGCGCTGCAGCAGCAGCACAAAGGCGAGAGAGAAAAGAAGAAGGATCTGCTGGGGGCTTTAGCTCTCCCGCTGCTATCTCATCTGCTGCTGCTGCTGCTGCTGCTGCTGCTGCTTTGCCTGGCAGGGGATTAAACAGCTTCGTCAGCGACCCCCATCCCCGGTGTACATCCACCCATGCCACGGAATCGTTCTCCTGCTGCTGCTGCTGCTGCTGTTGCTGCTGCTGCTGCTGGCTGGCGGAGCAGCAGAGAGTCTGCAGAGAGAGCGCGAACTGCAGGGCCCACAGGCTATCAGCAGAAGCAGCAGCCCCTGGTGCTGCAGCTGCTGCAGCTGCTGCTGCAGGAGTCTCTTCCTCTTCCTGCTGCACTTTCTGTTGCTGGGATGCAGCAAGAGGAGAGACTAGGGGATTCAAGGACAGCCCCAGCAGCAACGCATCGGTTGTCAGAACAAGCAGCAGCAGAGGCCGCTGCTGCTGCTGCTGCTGCTGCTGAAGAGAAGGAAGAGTTTCATGAAGGCGAGCAAAGGCGAGGGAGGAGACGGTGCGGGTGGAGAGACAGCCGAGAGAAGGCAGCGACAGAGCAGCACCCGAAGAAAGAGACATCAGCTGCAGCTGCAGCTGCTGCTGCTGCTGCTGCTGCTGGGGTGTGTCTCTTCCTTTGCGAGGTGTCATGACAACAGCAGCAACATTTGCTGCAGCATCTAGAACCAGCGAAGAAGCAAACAGACCTTCTTCAAGGCATCGACTCCACAAAACCTGCACACACAGCAGCAGCAGCAGCAGCAGCAACAGCAACAGCACAAGCAGCAAGCTGCAGAAGCTGCGGTAGCAGAGAGTTTGGCCAACACACATCAGCAACAGCAGCACCAACAGCAGCAGCAGCAGCAGCAGCATTAGCAGCTAAGAACGCCCACTCTCTCCTCTTCCTCCGGGGTGTGTTGCAGCGTCCCCGAGCTGCTGCTGCTGCTGCTACTGCTGCTGCTGCTGCTGCCGTTGCTGTTGCTGCTGCTGCTGCTTGTAACCGAGACGCATACTAGGTATGCGCCTTCATTGGTAGGGACCCATGTGGCATCTCCGCCTGGTCCTGCTGCTGCTGCTGCTGCTGCTGCTGCAGTGCGCTGTCGCTTCGACCCTCGACACCGTTCATTGATGGCGTACAGCCGTCGCTGCTGCCCTAGAGCACAGCAGCAACAGCAGCAGCAACACCAGCAACAAAATGACGAGCAGCAGTAGCCTTCATAACCCAGCAGCAACACCCCATGCATTGCGGACGCCCAGCAGGTGAAGCAGCAATAACAGCAACAGCAGCAGCAACAACAACCGCAACAGCAACAGCAGCAATAGCAGCAGCAGCAGCAGCGCGACCCACCATCTATGGAGAAGGACACACACAAAGAAGGCGAAAGGCTAGGAGCAGGTAGAATATCTGCGCAGCTTTGTGCTGCTATAAGGCGCTGCTGTTGCTGCAGCTGCTGTAGCGGCTGCAGCAGTTGCAGGGGCTTTTGCTGCTGCTGTTGCTGCTGCCGTTGCTG